ATGAATATGGAATATTTTATTTTAGTCATCTAGATTAATGAAGTATAGCATATATTTTTAGTATGTAAGAACCAATTTTTTTGCAACTTTCTTACTCTGGTTGTGTGTACAAAGTTTATCTCTGAGCTACCCTGGTAGGTCAATTTCATTTTTAATGGCCTGTGTGTACAGAATAGGCTGTCCAAGGCAATTCTTCCTTCTTTCATTATTTATTCTCCTTGTATAAGCTTGTTTCCAAATTCTAGTACCCACAACACCAACAACTGCACACGGTCTACACACTTCCAGGTAGAAGCACGTGTATGCGGATTACAAGAAGGTTAAAGTCAATCTGTGCTTTGTACATGAAAGGAAAACCAACAGATTGTTATTATTATTATTATTATTATACAGGATTTGTATAGCGCCAACAGTTTGTGCAACTCTTTACAAAACTGAGGGAGACAATACAATTTCTGTACAGGAGGAAGGAGGTCCCTGCTCATAAGAACTTACAATCTAGTAGATTCACTTTAATTTTTCATCCCCCCTTCAGCAAATAAATACCCTTCCTTCACACTGTTCAGCCACCGTAAAAGAAAGTCTTCTGTAAGCTGCAAACCACTGAAGTTGTAGCTTACCCAGGATTATAGACTCCGATTGCCCCAGTGCTGCTGTCACGTGCTCCACCATACCTGTAAGAGATGGTTATTTCCTTTGGTTCTTGGTACTAGACAAAGAAGCGGGAGCAAAGGAAATGTAAGTATATACTGAGTAGGAAGGGTTAAAGCAAACCTGTTGGTTTGCCTTTACAGGACACAGCAAGGTTTGCTTTAAAAGGAAGACACTATTTTCCCAACAAAGCAAACTAAAACAAGCACTATTAGTGGCCCATCAGTAACAGTTGCGGGAAAGCGGTATATTGAGTGATAGGAACCCCATCATAAGAATAGCTCACTACACCGAAAGGTGCTCGCTTGTTAATTTCTAGTTGCTGCCATCCCCCGCTGACAATTCTGTCTTTGCTGAGAGACAGAATAGACTAGGTAAGAATAATGGATTTCTGAGCAGCTCAGTTGCATAATGACATAGAAATGCTCTGTAATATATGGACCCTGTGGGACACTAGAATACATTTACATCTAGATAAGACTGTTTAAAGGGAGACTATAATGGCTTCAAGCCAATTTTATTTACATTTTTTTTATTTGTGTTCACAAGTTTAGAGCTGGTGTTTTAAAATTGTATGTAGATTAAAAAATATATAATACAGAGTGTATCCATGATCTTGTTTTTTTAAGTTTGGTTAAGAGTGCAGCAGTAGCTTTTTCCTTTGTGACCGTCTTTCTCTTGTTGAATGGCCCCAACTAGAGGTGGAGTCACTCTCATGACCTAGTGACAGACATTGAGTCCTGTAAACAAAAATCTTTTTTTTTTTTAATAGCAAAACAGTTAAGCACATCTACAGCTAAAACTTTTTTTTGGCCATAAGTCATGTAGCGGAGTATGGAGTATCCATAGAATTGAATGGGGCTCTGGGGGCATGTGTACCTGATTATACTAGGACCTGACCAGGATGTTATGGATGCAATGGCTATACAGTATTAGCCAGAACCACCATGTGGAGGCCATGGGGTAGGATGGCCTAATTAAAGTGACACTAAACTCAGAGTTAAATCTTAAAAATGCAGAGTACCTTAACTATTAACAAAAATGTATCTTATTTGTGCATCACTCAGCTGTAGAACCTCAAATCATCTCTGAATTGGTGCCGACACTGTCCTTCCTTCTGAAGGGTGGCTACTTCTGTTCTCCATGGTCCCTGTGTGTGTTGTAAAGTAGCCACCTCTCCAAGCTCATTCCTGTGATGTACTACAATCTCAATACAACCTAATAAACTAAACATGAGATTGTAGTCCATCACAGGAGTGAGCTTGGTGCTGTGTCTACTTTACAACACACACAGGGACCATGGGGAACAAAAGTAGCCACCCCCCAGAAGGAAGGACAGTGTCAGCACCAATTCAGAGATGATTTGAGGATTTACAGCCAAGTGATACACAAATAAGATACATTTCTGTTAATAGTTAAGGTACTTGAGTGCATTTTTAAGATTTAAATCCTGAGTTTAGTGTCACTTTAATAGACAATATCACAGAAAGCGTAGTTTTCCTTTAAGCCCCATTAGAAATAAGCCACCTTTAGATGGACTGGTTGTAAGTAAGGGCATTGCTATAGATACCTATTTGGCTCTATGAGAGCATCTTAACCAGCAACCATTCCCTTGCACCATGGCTGCACTCAAGTACAGGCTGTGCCTTGGCATTCTCCCTTTGCCTAGAGGTTAATGGCCTGAAAGTTGTAAATCACAGAATAAGACTATTTGTCAGTGAGATTCTTTTCAGATGAACTGTCTTAATAAAGCATTTGTTGGGAAATAAAACATATACATCACTTTGACTTTATTTACAAAATATTTTAAGTATTTTTTACAAACATCAGATGTAAAAAGACCATGTACACTGCTAAAATATGCACAAGGGTACAACGTAAAAATAAAATACATAGCCCAGTTATTCTTTAGTTTTAGTAAAATCAAATGGTTTCCACCACTGGGAAAACTGCAAGACCTTCTTCCTCTGATCGTCAAAATTTTCACGGATGGCTTTTCTCCAAACTCTGGGCTCCAGATCCAGCATGCCGCCAATGATTTCCTGCAGTACAGAAAGGCACACACGTCATTTACCGTTCCTAAACTAGAGTATTGAGGTGACAAAAACAACTACAAAAATTAAAAATGCAGCATCCCTTTGTTGTGTGGTTATAAAGCTTCCCAACTTTTAAAAATGGAAAAATTGATCTAAAGCCAAAACCTTATTTTGGAGTTTTGTAGAGTGGAGAAGCATTAGAACCCTTGTCTGGTTTTTATTGCGGTCATTCTCCTTCTTTTTATTTTCTATTAAATATTGGAACCGGGAGTGAAAAGCAAGAAATTCGAGTCCTCAACACAACAGGAATGAAGGGGACATTTTCCAATGGGGACATTTAAAAGATGATTTCAGTCACTCTGGAGAGATTTCCTTTGGCTTCATCTTGTTTCTATGGAAAAAGATGATTGCCTCCACACACCTCAATGCCTCTTTGCAGCCACTTTCTGTCTACATGCAATCCAGCAATGGCTGCATCATGACAGTGGACCATGCCTGCATAATGAGTGCTGAATGTTAACATTTTCTTAAGTATAAAACTACTTTGAAATTACATTTACATATTAAGGCTTATATGAAATTTTTGTGATTAGCTTTACATCTACTATAAAGTGGAACTCTGCATAAACCTTACAGTGGCTTGAAAAAGTATTCACTCCCCTTGGCATTTTTCCTATTTTGTTTCAATTACCACCTGGAATTAAAATGGATTTTTATTTGAATTACATGTAATGGACATACACAAACAGTCCAAAATTGTGACGTGAAATCAAGAAAATAACTTGTTTAAAAAAATTATAAAAAATAAAGCAGAAAAGTGATGTGTGCAAATATATTCACCCCCTTTAGTATGAAGTCCCTACATAAGATCTGGTGCAACCAATTACCTTCAGAAGTCACGTAATTTGTTAAATAAAGACCACCTGTGTGCAATCTAAGTGTCACATGATCTCAGTATATATACACCTGTTCAAAAAGGCCCCAGAGTCTGAAACACCACTGAGCAAGGGGCAACACCAAGCAAGCCGCACAATGAAGACAAAGGAGCTCTCCAAAAAGGTAAGGGACAAAGTTGTGACGTACAGATCAGGGTTGGGTTATAAAAAACAAAACAAAAAAAAAACCATCCGAAGCTTTGAACATCCCATGAAGAACCATTAAATCCATTATTTAAAAAGCGAAACCCATCCAACTTGAAGGAGCTGCAGCAGTTTTGCCTTGAAGAATGGGCAAAAATCCCAGTGGCTAGATGTGCCAAGCTTATAGAGATGCACCCCAATAGACTTGTAGGTGTAATTTCTGGAAAAGGTGGCTCTACAAAGTATTGATATTGGGGGGAGGGGTAAATAGTTATGCACAATCAAGTTTTCTGGGGGTTTTTTTGTCTTATTGCTTCTATGTAGCGCAATAAAAAATATTTGGCATCTTGAAAGTGTGTAAATCAAATGATACAAACCCCCAAAAACTTCAATTACAGGTGGTAATGCAACAAAATAGGAAAAATCACAGAGGGGGTGAGCACTTTTGCAAGCAACTGTATTTACCATTATAGGGGGACCGGATTCTGTCACCTGGCAGAGAGCTCACCCTGATCCTAACATGGTAGCAACAGATTTTTAAGTTGAAATTACAATATTTCTGGATCATCGCCACATGCTTCTGTCCAGTATTTACAAAGATGGCAAACATTTTCCATCATCCTAGTGGGATTATGATTTCCTTGAAAGGCTCTTCTTTCTTTTTTTTTTATCAAACAAGAGATTGATATCTAACCAAATCGGATTTTATGGACTAGAAAAGAAATGTAATTACCTTGCCAAAGTAATGTGGAAACTTGTTGTGATCTTCAATAACGTGTGCAAATCCACCTTGTAGCCCAAAATCCACTGAGAAGTATGGCAAACCTTTAGGAACCTTAATAGAGAAAAGAAGAAAAATGATTTCCATCATCATCCACAATGCTAATGCTCTAAAGATCCACTACCGGATTTAAAAAAAATACTCTTGAAGTAAGTCCTCCCCTCTCTGCCAGGATTAAAGTAAATGTTCGTTGAATCTGGGGGTTAAGGAATAACTTATAATGCTAACTTATTATTTGCTTTGGCAGGATTCAACCATGCCATTCAACTGGTCCCCCCAAAGCCGCTTCACTTTGGTGGCCGTGCTTAACTCACAGGTTAACTTACAGACAATACATACCATAACAGCAAAAACTAGCAGACAGTATATGAGACAAGATGAGTGTACATCAATGCCCGTATCTATGACTGAGGAACTGCAGGGTATAAACACACTAGAAGGGCTATTCACAAAAGGGTGAAGAGTTTGGAGAAGGCAGGAGAAGTGAACAATCTAGGCCACAATAGCTGATTTGGAAACATTCTCCAATTCAGCTATGTTGTCCTAGATTATTCACTTCTACTGCCTTCTCCAAACTCTTCACCCTTTTGTGAATAACCCTTCTAGTGTGCTGTTGTGCAGAAAGTAAAATTTAAGATGTTTCTACTGTCATGTACAAAAGTTCTATCAAGGAAATTATAAATTACATATCCTATATAGCCAAATGTTTGGGAACACATGACTATCACACATAGACATCCAATTCCAAAGCCATGGGCATTAACATAGAGTTGGTCCACCTCTGTGCCCATAACAGCCTACACTCTTCTGGGAAAGTGTTTAACAAAACTTTGTAGTGTGCCTATGGGAATTTGTGCCCATTCATCCAAAAGTATATTTCTGAAGTCAGATATTGAGGTTGGATGAGAAGACCTGGCCTGCATTTGGCAGTCTTATTCACCCCAAAAGTCTATAACAGGTTTGAAGTCAAGGCTCTGTGCAGGCTACTTGAGTCTCTTCACACTAGGAATGCACCGATATTGATACTAGTATCGGTATCGGTGCCGAGTATTTAGGCGAGTACTTGTACTCGCCCAAATGCTCCGATGCCTAGCCCGATAATTCCGGTATCAGGAAGCCGGGCAGCGAGTCATTACACGCTGTTATGAGGTACTGCCAATGTCAAGGGTTACTTGAGAGCACATACCCAATCCAGGGGGTAATTCTTAAACAATGGCATCTATAAAGGGATACATACCCTAAAAATGTGAGAAACCCTTGTACAAATCTTCAAATTCTATAAAGAGGAGTAGGTATCGCTAAATCTTCTAAATGTGTAATTGCCAAGATAATAAATAACTGATAAATAATATTTTTAGAAAAATGCATTTTTTTCAGGTGACCACTATGTAGGAGTGTAGGCAACAGGCATTTTCAAAAGAAGAAAAGTTGCTTGAAACTGGCTAAAACTTTGCAAACGCTTTGTAAAAACGTGTCAACTCCTCCCATGCTTGCCTCCAAGACTTCTCTTGAGTCTCTCCCATTCTTTGGCGCTCCTTGCCCCAACCTGCCCGTCTATCTCCTACTCTGACTACCTATCGACGAACACTAAAGACTCATCTCTTTAGAGAAGCCTATCCCACCTCAACCTAACCACTGAACTCTTTCTCAAACAACTCATCCCCACACAGCTACCTCCTCATGTATCGCTGGCCCCTCCCTCTTAGATTGTAAGCCCTCACGGGCAGGGCCCTCCTTACCATATTGTCTTTAATTGTATTGTAATTATGTCTTCCCTATATTGTAAAGTGCTGCGCAAACTGTTGGCGCTATATAAATCCTATATAATAATAATGAACACACTGTTATTTTACAATGAAGCCTGTACGTACAAGGTCTTACTATATTTGAAGAAAGCCGTGCCAAGCTAGCCCAGGTCTAGAGCCAGAACCTGCTCATCGGAGCCCAGGAGAATGTACTTCTGGAGTTGCGTAATGCTACACAGAAGGACTTTGCATACTGCGTGCTAGAGTGTGGTAACAAATATGAACAACAACAAAGGAACTAATAATTTGCAGACCTTAAAAAAATGAAAATAACGCTAACTTATCAAGGAACTTGAATACAAAATAAAGGATTGCTTGAATGTGAACCTGATGGGCATTGATAGAAAGTGATATACATTATAACAAACTCACAGGGACCAGGATTGAGCAGGTAAAAAATAAAACATCTACCTCCAATACACCTCCCCCCGTACCATTAACATCGACTTTCATTTGAAGACGGGAAAGTGGAAATCAATCTATTAAAAAAAAAATTGCAGGTGACATGTGAATGGAAGTGAGAAAAGTCACAGGCGAGGGTTGAAGAGGTCCTTCAACTTTGCCAGGCTAAAAATAAATGAAAAAATAAAAAAGGCTCAATTTTCGCTCTTCTTTAATAAGCCACACCAGATTTTTAGCCTTTTATGCTATTTATAGTGGAAAGAGGAGATCAAAGCAAAGACCTGGGATAAGGACCTTTGGTGTGAAAGACTTCTGCTTCTACAATCTATAAAAACATCTTTTTGATCATTAGAGACTTCTGTGCAGACCCGACTGCACTGGAGAGAAATTAATTTATTGAGGGTGGAAAAGGGTTAAAAGCTAACCATATACATGAAAGCATGACTTCCTATCTATGTCAGCTGAATTGGGTGACAATGGCAGCATCAGGTACTGCTCTAGGCTGGATGTCACTCTCTCAGGAAGAACATCAATTGAAAAGGCATGAAAACCTTGTCTAATTGCCATCTCTGATTTCTACTGGTGCTGGCGGCTTGCACCATTACATAAACATATATGCTAAGATGAGCTCAACATACATGTTCATATGACATCTAGCCGACAGATGCCTCAATGCACTCAGACTGCAGCAGCAAGTTCAGCCAGCTTTGCATGCCTATGCTCAGCATAAAGAGAATTAGTCATGACTGCACTTATGTCAAATTATGAATATTTAGTCTTCAAATATAATTGTGATGGCTTAACTCTGAACGATTTTTCTGCCCACATATTTAGCTCTATTTAAACTAAACAATAGGTAGATATAAAAGACACAAAGCAATGCAACTCTATAATCATTAATACATTAAATGTATTTTTTTTTTTTAAATACAAGCACTTTAAGTACCTGATTTTGGTGTTGCATCAGCCTCTTGCAGTCCCTGTAAAGCAGGGCTGGAGTGTGAGAAGAAGCAGCTGTATAAGGTGCCAATCAGTTTATATGTTGACAAGAGGCATGCTGATAGGAGGAGACAGTAGAGTGACATAGAGATTAGCTCATCACTGTGTGTTTCCTTTCACTGTCCAGTCGAAGGCTGGGACGGCTCTAGGATCACTTGGGCTCAGAAGAAGTGGTTTAAATGATGCTGGCCATTACACAGAGGACATCTAGTGGCAGAAAAAAAGCATTGCAGAGGAAATCTCTGGCTTGAACTTGAATAGTATAGCAAATTAGTTTTTTTCATTTTAGCTTTTAATTGGCTATTAATTTTCATCTTGGTATTTTTGGCTAAAATTCTGCTTTAACCCCTTCACGACCAGCGACGTACAGCGCACGTCGCTGGCATCGGGGCCGTTTAAACAGACTGTCCGCTTTACAGTACAAGCAATTCTGCCACCAGATCGCTTCTATAGGGCTGGTGAACGGGTCACCCCCACCGCCCGACACCTCCGCCGTGTTTCCTGGGCTCCGTTGCCCCTCCTACGGGCCCGGGACCTGCTTCTTTGGTGTCGGCGGGAAGCTGGGGAGGAGATGGGCGAACCTCCGTTCGCCGATCCCCTCCCCGTTCTATGGGACAGTAAAGTAAAAAAACAAAAAGAAAAACTGTTTTTAAAATGAACATTAAATAAAATAAATGTAAATATAATAAAACATTTTTTTTTAAAGTCCCGAGCATGCAAATCTTCATATAAACGTGCGTCGGGTGTGCCTACGTATGACAACAATGCACGTGCTACACATGTTGGGTATCGCAGCGCAAGCCGGAGTGAGAGCAATAATTCTGGGGCCAGTATTTTTGGGTATATCTAAACTGATGATCTGTGGGGGCTTATAACCTCCCTGGCGGTATGATTATTTTATTTTTTTTCCCTTTTTTGTTCTTTTTTTCGCTTTTTTTTTTACTTTTAAAATTCCTGCCGGTTCCGCCCCCCCTGCGACGCGGACGCTCGCAAGGGGCGGAAGACGGATGCTGGCATCGGCCAGAGGACACAGCGGGGATCGTGGACAAGGTAAGAGACGCTACTCTGTAATCCCGAGTGTGGCTCTGGGTTACCGCTTATGGTACTGAAAATTAACCCCGAGCCACAATCGGGAATACCGCCAAGGAGGTTAAAGCGGCGTCTATGGACTTTTTGGGGTACTGAATTTTGTCGCCGTTTCACGGACGCACACAATTTTTAACCTGGGCATGTTGGGTATGTATTTACTCGTTGTAACCTCATCTTTTATATTTTATTAAACAAATGGGCATTTAAGTGCATTTTTCACAAATTTGGGGGGTTTGACAAGGAGTTGCGCTAATATTGTGCAACATAAAAATTTGCTACTGTCAACATTTCATTCTATAAGGTCTTGGCTTTCAGAAAATATATAATGTTTGGGGTTTTAAGTAATTTTCAGGCCTAAAATGTGGAATATTACATGGGTGCAAAAAAATGAAAAAAAAAAGGCCTCTGTCATAAAGGGGTTAAAATATATCTAAAGGCAAAATGTTTTTTCATTCTGGATAGAGTAGGAAATGCCTAAAACTCTTGCCAGGTTTTTTTTTTTTGCCCTCTGTGTCCCAGTCAAGAGATTTCCCGATACTACAGGTCATTAAAGAAGAACTCCAGGAAAAAATGTATTAACTCTTACAGTGTGGGGATAGTCCAACTGCAAGGGTTAATAACATTTTAAGTGCTTGTTTGTGCCTAGGTGCAACAAAAAAAAAAGTTATACACACCAGACCATCTGTGCTGGCTTTTTTTTAGATTGGTGTCTCCAGCATCTCTCCCCCTCTGCTGCAATGATGTCATAGCGCTCTATACACTGTGTATAGACATGAGGATGCCAAAGAGCAGGCCATCTGTGCAGCGGAGGAGGAGACAGGCTTCAGTGATCACAGAAGCAGGGGGACGGCTTGGATGGTCTGGTGAATATATCTTTTTTTTTATTTTTTTTTAGCACCTAGACAAAAATGAAGTGTGGGTGTAACCCCAATGCAAAGGTTAATAACATTTTTAACTACAGTTCGTCTTTAAGACTAAGCAGGAAGTGAGGAAATTACTCTGAAGTAAGTGAAATCTAGTCTTAAACAGATGTCAGTATAATAGGTATCCCTATTAGAAGATTTCTCCACTATCCCAATTGTTTGCATTTTCTCTCACTTTCAGTCCCAGTTGCATTGATCGAGAAAGAGATGGAGAGGGATCGAGAAAGAGATGGAGAGGGATCGAGAAAGAGATGGAGAGGGATCGAGAAAGAGATGGAGAGATGGAGAGGGAGAGATGGAGAGGGAGAGATGGAGAGGGAGAGAGATGGAGATAGAGGTCGAAAGAGAGAGAGATGGAAAAATGGAGAGAGATGTAGACAGAGAGAGAGAGGAAAGAGAGAGAGGTCGAAAGAGAGAGATGGAGAGAGAAAGAGATATAGAGAGATCGAGGTCGAGTTCGAATGAATAAATATGAATCTCCCTAGAGGGTGTACAGGCAGCAAGAATAACCCCTAACAGGTCTGAGAGAGAGAGAAAGCAGAGTGACAGAGAGCTGAACTCATCACTGTGCTGCAGGCACAATAGGAAGGGTCCAGGATGGGCTCAGAGGAAGTAGGTTGAATGATTCTGGCCATCATACTAAGGACATCTAGTGGCAGAAAAAGGGGGGAAATCTTCGCAGCCAAAGCTCGTTTTATTCTTTTAATATTTTAATGGGCTATTCATTTTTATCTTATTTTTCGGCTAGAGTTCTGCTTTAACACATTGGTACCTGTAGTGTGTCTGCATTGTTTAGGCAGGTCATTTTTGAGATGCTCAGGCTTTAAGGTGAATGCAGTTCCAGTATGTACTTTTAGCGTGACACATGCAACCAGATGCCATTCCAGTCAGACGCACTGGGTATAAGATTATTGCTCTACACGCATTGCTTTACCATAATAATGAATTATTTCTAACGTATACCATTACAAGTAAAACTAAAAGTAACCCATAAGCAGTCCAAACCCCAGTGTGCATTTTCCCTGCAAGCATGTGAGTTGCCATGAGTTGCATCACTGAAATTCATAGATGTAAATGGGCCTTCAGACTTGAGGGGCTTCCCGAGGGGGAGGGGGGTAATTTAAAAGAAATCTGTACAGAAAGTACAGGTACCTATTAAATATGTAAGGCTTGCACCAACCTAATCCTGACTGGCTTTCTTTAAAGCCTGTCTCTAGGTAATATCATTTAAAAAAAAAAAAATACCCTTGCCGCAAGGTTACCCCCACACTACAAGGGTTAAGTGTTTGTTTTTGTATTGGAGAATTCTGTAAAGCAGTTTTACTTACCTGATCCCTCGCTCCCCCCTGTGATTGGAGCTTACCTCTCTCCGTTCCGCTCAGAGTCATGGACTTTCTCTCGGCGTCATGTATAATGCAGGTCTACGGACCCTGCATTGTACATGATGACGTCAGTGGGCCTTGGAGGCTGTGGTCGCCAGCATTGGAGCCAGCGGGGTGAAGAATCTGCGGTCACCGGCATTGGAGCCAGCGGGAATCAGGTTAGTAAAGTCTTTGTTTTTCAGTGCAGAAAGCACAAGGAAGACTTTAACTCAAAGAGAAAATCTGAAAATCTAAACCTATAAAATAATAAAGGAGAATCAAGTCAAAATGAAATACCGCACAGGCTGCCTTACTGGAACATTAAATGAGACATCTGAAATGTCAAGCACAGTCTATGGCTGAAGGGTATGGAGAACAAGATTTGTCATTTGAGAAAAGTTAGTCTGCAGGCAGCATGACCTCCGCAGACAGGACCTGGGAGAGCATAGTGGATGGAGACACACAGGATATAGACTTGAGCAGATGAATGTCAGGGCATTTCAGACTGATCACTCCGTGATCTCTGTACATGATGGATAATGTTACTGGAGAACACATTAATCTATCCCCCTAAAGTGAATCAGATCTGATACAATCTCATCTTAGAAACCGGAGAGAAATTAATTCCTGCTAGCCTAAAAAATCAGATAAATTGAAATTAGAGACAATTTCAGATACAGGTTAGTAATCATCTCTTTTGTTGTAAAATAAAACATGGGAGATTTACCAGCAGGAAAGGAAAGGAAAAGAAAAAAGAAAAAAAAAAAAAACAACTTAAGCTTTAAGTGGCTCTTTCTACTGAATTAAAAACAGCTTAATATTCACAGCTAGAGACATGCAATTATTTTCATACAAATTATTTTCAAATACAGGTCAGTGTCGGATAGGGAGAAGACAGTTTGTTAATGGAACTCATGCTGGCATTATTAAACCACGTAAAAGTTAACATGAGCAAGGTAAAGTGTTTCTCATGTGCGTTGAAGGGCAACGCCAATCAACAAAATAGATTCACTGAGCTGGGTATACGTGCAAGACAGTGGGCCAGTTTGTTTGTTGTTTCAATGTCTAATGGCGTGTCGAAGTGTGTAGGAGGTTAAAGCTGAACCCTCAGAAGAAACTATTTTTTTTTCTTGCCCATTGATGCACACAGGAACTCAGAAGCAGCTGGGTTATACTGCCGCCTACAGGAGGTATAAGACACTGACAAACAACAAAAGCTGTAAGTCATTCCCCTGCATAACCCCTCCTCTACAGCATGCCTCCCTTTTTAGCTAGTGTTTTAGGAGGTCGAACACCTTCTCCTCAGCTCCACTGAAAAAAATCTAATTTTTTTGATAGCTTTCCTTACTTTGTGGAATTTGTTTTCTATAAGTGACTTCAATCAAGATTCCTTGCTGACAAGGCTACTTGAGCATGACTCTACACTGAGTGGCTAGATTATTATGATCACCCCATCAGTACTTCGTTGGGCCACAAGATGACTCCATGAGATGACTTCGTTGGGCCGCCTCGTGACTCCACGAGATGTTGAAAGGTGATGCGAGGAATCTGAAACTGCACTGTTGCCCTTCTGTTGTCTTGTACCAGTCTTGCCACTCTCCCTTCTGCCCTAACATTGACTAGTCGCTGACGGCCACAATTTGCATGTTCAGACCCAGATTTTCGGCTGACAGTCCAGTCTTTAAACACTTTAACAACAGCTGCTCTTGAACATTTAACGAATTCTGCTGTTTTGCTGATACTTGCTCCATGGCTCAGAGCACCAACAAGAATCCCACATTCAAAGGCTGTTAAATCGCGTTGTTTACCCATCTCTTCAGAAAAAAATCACTTCTACTGTCGTGGTAAACAACCTGCTTCCCTATTTATAATGGTCTGGCCCTCTAGCAACTTCAGCGCAAAATTATAGCTAATTATAGCTAATTTGCCTACAAACGTCAGGTGGTCATAATAATCTGGCCACTCAGTGCATAAAGCATATATCCAGATTGGTGCTTCCTCATCCTAGGCTGTACCTGGAGCCCGCTGGACATGAGAGGATGGGATGGGAAGGGATGGGATATGAGAGGCTGGCCTGGAATATGACCATTGGGCACTGGGCTCTACATTGTGCAAAGTGAACTGTGTAAGTTAGCTGTGGAGCATTTTCCAGGTCCACAGCCACGGCATAGTCCCAGGTATGACTCTGTCTCTGAAGACTCACTTTGTGAGTAAGGCCTTTCGGGCTGAGCACTAGGAGCTACCTCACTGGTTGCAACGGCCAAAACTCGCACAGTGGGTGGGCCTGGGTGGGTGGGTGACAGGGCCTGTCAGCACCCTTCTGCCAGGCATCTCTCGATCAGAAGATCCAAGGAGCCGCTTGGAAAATGTTAAGCGGCCACTGTCACATTGAGGGGGATTGGTCCATCTATGCTAAACAGTGTGGATGGAGAAAATGGTTATCATTTTTTTGTTTATCCTGCAGGTTGAAAGAAAATAATATAACGGTGTGTACCCTATCAAACTTAAGATGGTCATACACTGTACTATTCTTTAGTACAGCATCGCAGATTCCTCCATCAACACTAAGCAGCGTGGATGGATGACTCCCCTGCTGTTTCCATTGTATTCTGACAGTGGCCAACAGCCACGGTCAGAATACCCAAGCTGATAGCATCATTCAGCCGTAGATTTTCTATTTGGCTCTTTTGATCTGATCAAGGAATACCGGCCAGAATGTCGGGGCACCCACTGTGTAAATTTTGCATAGTGTATGGCCAGCTTTAGAATCATGATCTTTCAGAAAATGAAGAAAACTGGAAAAAAAATGGAATTGAGGACAATTAGTAACTAGCTGATCAGAATGAAAATTAGAGTTGTGTATCAGTATAGAGCCTCTTTTATCAGTATACATACAAAAATGTCATGCTTGACTGGAATCTACCTTTTAATTTAGTGATCAGACAGATGAACGCTACTTACTGATCGTCGAACATTCTTTGTTGAAAGATCAATCAGCTTCTTATTCATGGACCATTCTTCATCAGATTCCATGATTGCTTTCTGTGTCCAAAATAAAAACAGTACATATCTGTAAGTTCAAAGTTACATCTGTTTCATGTTTCTGTAATTCTCAGATCTACCTCCTCCGAATCAAAAGCACATCAAAAGACTGCAAAGTGTAGCTTCAAGCAAAAACAAAAACTTGAATATTTAGAGCTGGCCACATATTTAGGAAGGCAGCCGGATGTTTAGATAAAAAAGCACTGAAATACTATGACCCCAATTGAGTTGCACATACATATGCATGCCCGTATGCTATGAGGGTGAATGTCTGTAGAGGGAGCAGACAAGTCCAGTGCTGCTCTTCTTTTCTAGTAACCGGCTATCAGCCTAAATACCGGACATGGCTAATGATCCTTCCCTACACACTCTCAAAGCAGAACTCCAGGCAGACAGCTAAATGCACAATTTAAATATATGCATGTTTACTGATTTGACAACGGAATTGTGATTTACATAATTTGCTCATAAGGTCCAGCTACTCCACTTTCTTGCTCAGGTTCACCAATGGCTGGATCACCGCATAGAGGGCCCAGTCAACCCATCAAGAGTGCGTTCCAGTGCGTTCGGCCTCTGGAATGCAAACTGGCTGGCTCACTTTGTTTTGGGGCGGGAGGGGGCGTAGCGGTGCATTGAAGTCAATGGCACCGCAGCCACGCCCCCTGCCTGCGGTGCAATCGCCGGCACCCAAACGCGTGGCACTTTGTGCCTGCGTTCCGGTCCAGTGAGATCTGCAAAAAATAGTGCATGCAGCATTTTTTTGCAGATTGCACTGGACTGGAACACAGGCACTAATGTGCCACGTGTTTGGGTGCCAGCGATTGCGCCGCGGGTGTGGGGCGTGGCTATGGTTCCATTGAGTTCAATGCACCGCCTCGCCCCCTCCCGCCCCAAAACAAAGTGAGCCAGCCAGGTTGCGTTCCAGTGGCTGAACGCACTGGAATGCACTCTTGATAGTGTGACAGTGCCCTCAGGGCTGGAAAGAGGCAGAAGTTGAGGCGCCTGCTTTATTGAGCGCCTCAGATGGAACAAGAGCCTCTCCTGCCTCTAAAACACCCAACCGTGGGGCAGAACCGAACTTTCAAACTGATAGCTCAGACCGGACGAGTACAAAGGGTGAGCACGAGACACAACCTGTGTAAATAGCAGAGATCTGGGGTCATTGTGACAGCCATCCATTTCTACAAAACCCCACAGAGAATGGCTGTCAAATTGACAGGAGAGCTGTGTTGTTGACACAGAGAGAGCAGTGCTCTTCCTGTGTAATTTGCTGGACTGAGCTGTCAGTTTGTCATGTAAGTTTATACACATTCTGACATCCTTACATCCTTGCCGCCTACCTAAAAATTTACCGCACTTACACCAAGTTAAAGGCCACTTTAAAGTTTATAAACCGAAGAACAAAAAAAATTATTTATTGCAGCTTACCAGTCCTTAGAAGTAGAAGCTGCATTAGTTTTCTTTTTCAGTCTTATTTTTTTTAATTTCATCTGGTGATCCTGCCAGTAACACTCTTCCTGATGAAGGGTGACAATGCTCCATCATTGTACTATATCTACGAAGAAGCATTGCTGTCACAAAAGGACAAGAAATATCTTAGGACTACTGAACAACTCCCATAACAGAGGTAGTTCTGTAGTTCACATAGGTAACCTAGGTAGGAAGATAAGAGTGCTTAAAACCCATGTCCACCTTTGTAAGTGATTAGCATTCAGAGTGGCAATGTAGAGAAATAGAATGTGTGTACATTTTCATGACTCATGGCTTACTTAATTTGTTTCTGGACTTTTTAGTAGGCCCGAGTCATACAAATTGAAAATTTTGTCCACGTGACACTCGGACACTGGGGTCGAATTGTAAAGCAGCTGACCCTCTCCCTGTGAATCATTGTAAAAACATCGCTGGACACCAGCTCTGCCTTTCCAGGTCACAATACATTGTCCATGGTTGAGTTGCAAATATAAATACTAATGAATGGGGGGGGGGGGAGGGGGTTAATATACACAGACTGCTTGCAGCCATTTGAAAAGGAGCTGAAGGAGGCGACGAAGAGGTCAAAAAAAGATTGTGTGTTCATATACAGCAACTGCATATGTCTGCTTCATGTACTCTCCAACATATGCCAACAAGGTGTACATTGTTGGCATATGTTTTTTTTTTTCTTTTAATACCTCAGGAAAGGTGAAACATGGCTTTAAGAGAATACTGCAAAATGCAGAAAACAGGATAGCACTGGATTTCTGGCATGATCAACAGGTTCTTTTTTTTTTACACATATTAAACAGATATTAAAAGAACAAAAAAGACCAAATAGGAACAAATAATAGAAGTTCATCATTAGGATTTGCATATACTTTGATTGCCCAGTCAGTGAACACTGCTACAAGCATTTCACAAAATCCCCCCCAATGACTGAGGCTAATAAGTGAGCACAGAGATAAGTGCGGACAACATGGAAGCAGGTGCCACAATTTCATAAGCCTCTAACAGCATAATAAGCGCTGCGGCAAAAGTGAAGACAGCGGAGGCAACAAGTGTCAAGTACAAATGTAATGTCGACAAGTTTTGCCTAATGAAATTCTGCCGGGTTTCAGTGTCATTCAGCTGAGCCACGTGTAGACGGAGGTCCCGTGTCAGTCGCTTATTCTGAGTTCTATTTTTCTTTGGCTGCTGAATACATTGAGGTGTGATTTATGTGCGCAATATCCAGCCATGAATCTCTGATAATGAGTTTTTAGTTGGTCTGGAGGAAATCAGTCTACACGGAGAATTGTTGTCTGATTGAAAAGATGTGATCTTTAGCCTGCCTTTTTCCCAACTTCAGATGTAATTTTATTCCAGACTCTGGTAAAGCTAAAGCTGGACTTCTCTGTGTGAAAGACTGACAGCATCTGCAAATAAAAAAGTCACCAGTCCTGCAGATCTTTTTTATATACACTGAAAGACATTTAGATGAGCATTATAATACATAAAAAAGTAATCAAGAATGAGGAACAGTGTCAGCACCAATTCAGAGATGATTTGAGGATCTACAGCCGAGTGATACACAAATAAGACACATTTTTGTTAATAATTAAGGTACCTGAATGTATTTTTAAGGTTGAACTCCTGAGTTTAGTGTCACCTTAACTGAACCCTGATGTAATTTAAGGCGATATTGTCATGAAAAGTAAATCACTGCCTTTAACTGACTTCCATGTCACTGTTGTGTTCTGTAGCGATGTAGAAGGCAGAAGTAGGAACCAGTGAGAGCTGCGGCGGACCCAGGAAATTGATGAAAGTGCCAGTTTCCCAGCAACAGAGTGGAGTTTGTCGGCAAGGGCAGCAGGAGAGCTAAGTATTTATACTCTTCTTTTACAGGGAACTTTTTCAACAACTTATTTGACCGAAAAAAAAAGACGCTTAAAAAAACAACCCTTTCAGTGAAAAATAATGAATTGTTTATGAAGTCTCCATGGCTCTTATAGACGGGCACATGCAGAAGAGTTTAAAAAGTATGACCTGTGTGCAGTTCACTGCTCAGTAGATGAGAGGAGTGAACTGCACAGTGGATGTGAACCAAACAAAAAAGTTTCTGTTCTCTGCACAAATCACTAGCAGCCAACACCATGGGATGCAGTGGTGAGGGAAATCCTTTTTGAGGAAATGAGTTAATGAGTTTTGAATCACTGATATTCCTAGCTTATCTCTACATGTAAAGAAAATGAACGCCATTTAGGCAAAAACAAACTTTATATAGATAGGATAAAGAATTAAAGTGGCCCTGCCATGGGATCAACAAAATGAAGGCACTAATCTGTAAAGAAAGTAATATTATACATACCTCTCCGTTGGCCTGTTTGCTTAAAATCAATTCTGTAACAGAGCACCAAGGGGCTGGTCGAATAGTGGGTCCCTCCATTAGCCATTGTGATCTGCCTGCTGACACCTAGTCAACGCAGGACAGAAGGATGACCTGCTTCTTGATTAAAGGAGAACTATGAGGTGAGCGATTTTCCCTCAACCTCATAGTTCGAACCGACGTGTGACAATGAAACTGTCACGTCGGCTCAATGGATCGGGAAGTTAGCGAACGCATACCGTCGCTCACTCACTTCTCGATCTCCCTGCAGAGAGCCGTGACTGTCACTCACGGCACCCTGCAGGGATTCCCCGCCTCCCCGCTCCTCCAGCGCTGACTGGCGGAACGGACGGGGGAGGGTACAGCTGGCTCTGCCTCTAGATAGGCAGAGCCAGCTGTCAGTCACGCAGCTGGGTGGATCTCGACAGTAATGTCAGGATCCGTCCCGGCTGTGGCGGTATACAGCGAGCTGTAGCTCACGATATACTGAGCTTTGGGGCACGGGAGGATGCTAGTTTATGTCCTCCCGTGACCCTTAGGAGAACTATGGGGAAAAACACTTACCACATAGTTCTCCTTTAACACAGTACAGTGAGTAAGCATTGTCATCATAGGACAGGGAGTAATGCTACTGGCAAGATCATCAGGTGAAAATAAAAGGAAAAAAGATAACTAATGGAGCCACAACATCTAAGGACTGGCAAGCAAACAATGTATTCCATTTTTGTTCTTGGGTTTAGTTAATTTGCTGTACCGCCCTCTTGAACAAGGGCTTCAGCTATTTTAGAACTAGATTTATTACCAATGGAAGATGTTTTCTACAGTATTACAGAATAGAAATGACCTGCTTGTAGGAAAATATTGTTTCTTCACATCAAAAATCTTTAACTTTGGCATCTTCCACAGACATTCAAGTACATTATTAAAAGCTTTTATTTTACGTTTACAAACACTCTGAATTAATCAAATGAAGACAGTCTTTAAAGGAGAAGTATGAGGTGAGTGATTTTCAGCGGTGCCAACGAAGCCAGCGCTAGAGGAAGCGAGGCAGCACCGGAGGGAGCAGAGCCGCATAAGCTGATGCCTCCTCTATAGGAGTTCTTTAGTTTCAGTCATCTGAATAGTTTTAGTTTTTCTTAACTTAAAGGAGAACTATGAGGTGAGTGATTTCCACTCATCCTCATAGTTAGAGCCGACCTGTGACAAAGAAGCTGTCACTTCCCAATCGTCTCCCTGCAGTGAGCTGTGACTGTCAGTCACCGCTCTACGCAGGGATTCACCCCTCCCCGATCCTCCAGCGCTTAGTGGAGGAACGGATGGGGGAGGGGGTGGGCACAGCTGGCTCTGCCTCTAGATAGGCAGAGCCAGCTGTCATTCACACAGCTGCGTGGATCTCGACAGCATTGTCGGGATCTGTCCCTGTTGTGGCGCTCTCAGTATATTGCAGGGAATAGCCTGCTATATACTGAGCTGTGGGTCATGGGAGGAGGTTAGTACCGTATGTGCCGGCGTATAAGACGACCCCCGACTTTTTGGGATGTTTTAAGGTCTCAAAAACCGTCTTATACACCGGGAAATACGGTATATGTCCTCCCATGACCTTAAAGAGAACTATGGGGCAAAACACTTATCCCATAGTTCTCTTTAGGGTCATGGGAGGACATATACCGTATTTCCCGGTGTATAAGACGGGTTTTGAAACCTTAAAACATCCCAAAAAGTCGGGGGTCGTCTTATACGTCGGGTACATACAGAAGGATATGGTATACTGTATGTAGCTTTGGCTACATACAGTATACCGCGCTGAGCCAATCACGGCAGGCTTTGTATTAATGAATACAAAGCCTGTATTCATTAATACAAAGCCTGCCGTGATTGGCTCAGCGCGGTATACTGTATGTAGCTTTGGCTACATACAGTATACCATATCCTTCTGTATGTACCCGACGTATAAGACGACCCCCGACTTTTTGGGATGTTTTAAGGTTTCAAAACCCGTCTTATACACCGGGAAATACGGTATATGTCCTCCCATGACCCTAAAGAGAACTATGGGGAAAAACACTTATCCCATAGTTCTCTTTTAAAAATCAGCTGGACCCAAAGGATAACTACATATTGACAGTCACAAAGATTGACAGGTAGTAAAACATGCTTTTCTCCTCAAAAGTGCTGGCATCTACCTTCCTGTACCATTTGATTGAGCAGATGAACAGAAGCAATACACACATGATGTATTTCATTACTCTCCTTTATTTTATGGTGAGCCCTACAAGCCCCAAACCTCCCCAATATGTCACACTGGGCAATCTAAAACACATAAAGACTATACAAACCTTGAAATATATCGGTGCCATATCTCCGGTTTCCTTAGGAAGAGGGATGCATTCATATACCAGATGGAAACGCTTCTTCATGTTTATGTTAGTTTCCAGGAATACACAATCCAATCCTTTCTCAGCAAACATCCTAACGAGTGTTTTACGGAACATCTACAATGTAAAAAAATAAATAAAATAAAGATGTCATGGAAAGACAAAATAAGGCTTTAAATGGGTATAAGCAATCTGCACTTTTATTGCCTTTTGTTTCATTGTATGACCAGCTAGTGTGCAGCCCAGTTTATGAAACCTGGAGCCTCTGCAAATTCTACTTTTGTGTCCATCTGTTACATTTCAAATTACTGGGTCATTGAAAGTCAGGAGTTAAATCTTAAAAAATACCTTTTCTTTATTTTGCCCTTATGTACACCTACACCTACACCTCTAAAATAAGAAAACACTGCAAGTACAGACAAAATACCTGTCGATCTGTTAAAAATCGAATGTGCTTCTAACTTGCTTTTTGAGCTGACAACACAGCAGTAAAAGGGTCTCAACAGTGTTGTCAGTCCCGTCTTGTGGACTATATAACTGCACCTGTCCCTCACCCCGTTTTGTCTTACCCCACATGTACATTTTGATTTCTTTTTTTTATTGACACTAAACTCAGGCGTTAAATCTTTAAAATGCATTCAAGTACCCTAACTATTAACAACAATGTATCTTATTTGTGTATCACTTGGCTGTAGATCCTCAAATCATCTCTGAATTGGTGCTGGATCCAGGGGTTGAGAGTCAAGGTCGGGAGCTGAGGCAAACGAAGTGGGCCATGTGGAACCACTAAGAAAATGGTGAGCCCTGGCTCTACTCGGAGCTCCGAGTTTGAGGAGACGTTTGTCATCTATCCCCGGAGGGAAGGCTGGGTTGCCTAGGACAGGGATCATAGGGGATGGCGAGGGTGACAGGGAGTACTGAGAGAAGGCGGACCGGGCCACCTTTAGCGTTGGCATAATGGTAGGGTGCGAGCGAATGGTTGGGGGTAAGTGGGATGAGCACCAGGGGAGGCCTGACAACGGCACCAAAGAGAAGGATTGCTCAAGGCCAGTCCAGAGCTTAGAGGATAGATGGCGGCACCAGTCCAACACTCGCGTCAAGTGGACGGCGACATAGGTGTACATCCGGTAAACCCATCCCCCCGCTGCCTTTAGGCAGGCGGAGGAGGTTATATTTGAGTCTAGGAGGTTTGCCCGCCCACACAAAACTTGTGAATAGGGACCTGAGTGTTTGGAAGAAGGATTGGGGTATGTTGATGGGGAGAGCTTGAAGAGGGTATAAGAGTTGGGGGAGAACTGTTTGCTTCAGGACGTTGCAGCGTCCCATCCATGAGAAGGTCCCAGTGGACCATCGTTTAAGGTCTGATCTAATGGCAGATAGCAAAGGGGGGCCATAGAGGGGTTTCTAGGAAGCAAAATGCCTAGGTATTTCAGAGAGGTGTGAGACCACTTAAATGGAAAGTTGTCCAGGACTCCGAAGGCGAGGGCCCGTGAGGGAGAGATGCATGGCCATGGATTTGTGGGAATTAACGAGAAAGTTGGAGAGGGCACCATATCGGTCAATTTTTGCCAGGAGCACCGGGAGGGAGATGTCAGGTGAGGAAGAACAGGAGGTCGTCCGCAAAAGACGCCACCTTATGCTGGACAGGACCAATGTGCACTCCTCGAATGTCAGGGTGAGAACGGATGGTACGGAGGAAGGGTTCCAAGGAGAGGACGAAAAGAAGGGGGGAAAGGGGGCAGCCCTGGCGCGTACCGTTGGTGATGGAGAAGGGGGAGGACAGCTCACCACTCACGCGGACCCGGGCAGAGGGACTGGAGTAGAGGGAGCGTATCCAGGTTAGCATGTGGGTACCCAGGTCCACCACCTTCAGGGTGGATGATAGGAAGTCCCAGTCCACCCTGTTGAATGCCTTCTGCGCGTCGGTGGATAATTGGACACAAGGGGAGGCAGACGACAGGGCGGAGTGGATGACTCCCAGTGCTCGGGTGGTGTTGTCCCTAGCTTCCCTTGACGGTACAAACCCCACCTGGTCTAGGTGAATCAGGTCAGCCAAATATGGGGCCAGGCGGTAGTATAGAATCTTGGCGAAAAGTTTTGTGTCCACATTAAGCAGGGAGATGGGCCTGTAGCTGGGGCACAGGGTCGGATCCTTCCCTTCCTTAGGGATTACCGAAATATGGGCCAGGAGCGATTCAGGTGGAGTGGCGGCGCCATCACGAAGGGAGTTGAGAGCTCGTAGAAAGTGAGAGGAGAGGTAAGGAAGGAAGTGATCGGAGACTCCAGGAGGGAACTGACGGAGGGGTCAAGAGAGGGCATGGCCGATTGGGCAATGTAGAGGCTATTTCTGATGGTGAAGTGGCCTTGCTCCCAGAGGAGCGGGCGATGAATTGGACACAATTTCGGGCGTGACGCTTGCGGGTAGCACGTGCAAGATACTTGCCGCATTGGTTGCCATATTCGTAGAATGACCGTCTGCACTTCGTCAGGGAAGCTTTAACCTTGGTAAGGCAGAGCGCCCGAAGCTGTTCTCGGAGGGAGGACAACTGTGACCCCCACCGCACGGTCCATGAAGGCCTTATGTCAGGATTCGAGAAGGCGTATCTGGTTCAAGAGGTCAGTGATTTGGGCAAGGCGTTGCTGCTTGAGTCTAGAACCATGCGCTATAAAGGAGCCCCGTACGGTCGCTTTATGTGCCTCCCATACAGTATAGGGGGGCACATCCGGCGTGTCGTTCTCCTGAAAGAAAAACCGTAGGTCTTGTTCTATAATGTTCCCTATATCGGTGGCCATGACTCGGGGGAGCTGGCTATGGTGTAGAAAAAAAAAATCAATACGTGTATAGCGTTGGTGAAGGTGGGAGAAAAAGGTATAGTCCCTTGCTGTGGGGTGGTGGATGCGCCACACGTCTGCCAACTGGTGTTCAAAGAGACAGCGTTTGATGCGGTTCAGCTGATTGTAAGATAGGTGGGAGGAGGATGCGGAGGAGTCCAGACTGGGGTCAAGGACGAAATTGAAGTCTCCTCCCAGGACCAGGATGCCGTCTCTGAAGTCAGCCAGGAGGGCCAGGACACGGGACAAGAATGGGATTTGGTCATGGTTAGGTAGGTAGAGGTTGGCGAACGTGACCATCTGGGATCCAATAGTGCCCTTCACAAAGAGCACCCGGCCTTCCTCCCCAGCATATTGATCCGTCTCGGTCCAGGATAGCCTGCGGGACATGACAATACTGACCCCACGAGAGCGCTTGTCAGAGGAACTACAGTGGTAAACCGTGGAGTAACGGTGGTCAACTAAGCGGGGGATCTGGCCGGTTCTGAAGTGGGTTTTCTGAAGGAGTGCTATGTCAATGCTCTGGCGGTGGAGATCTCGCAGGATCATAGTGCGTTTTTCAGGAACGTTAAGGCCCTTAGCGTTGAGGGATAAGACCTTGAGGCGAGACATGTCCCCGGGGTAGGGTGGGGGGGGCAGTGAGGTGAGGATATGGGGGGGGGGAGCCTGCATCCTGCTTCTAGATAGGTGGCCAATTGATACAGAGATGAGGCCGTGTCTCTGGACGTGAAGTAATGGAACGGAGTTCCAGTGGATAGTCACAGGTCACCCCAACATTATAAGAATACAGTGCAATAACAGAAACCCAAACATCTTTAAAAATGAGAAAAAAAAAAAAAAGAATATACAAAAGCAATGTCTCAAAAGATACAACACTGAGGGTTCCCAGGGGTTCCAGGCCGACAGCCAGGGAGAGGGGGAGAAGGGTGGAGAACCGGGTCGCCTACACGTAGGGTAGGGAACAGCCACCCGCCAAGGAGTAACAGGTAGGGACGCCTCCAGGTCACACAAGTATGTGTCCCCCGATAGCACGGTTCAACGTATCACCCGATGTGGCGTGAGACAAGGAGGGAGGTAGGCCGTGAGGCCTAAGTCAGGTGAGCCGGGGTTCTGGGAAGTATCTTGGATCGGGTCTCAAAGTAGGGTGGTAGTTGACCGCAGCGGGGTGCATGGAACAGGGCAGGGTGGTAATGCGGATGGGTTCGGACTGTTAGGGGGGCGGCCTGCATCCTAGATGTGGGATACCTCTTAATCAGAGGACCTCGGATGTTACGACCAGGGGTTCAGAGAGCGGCCAAGGGGAGCCATCCGGTACCTGTTAACGACCGATCTGGAAGTCCGCTCCAGGGATACGGTGGGCGGGGAGAGGTCCCACACCAGGCTATCTTCAGGGAATCAGGGTTCATTGATGGTCGGAGCGGGACGGGTCGGAGCAGGACGGGTCGGTCTGGGCCTGCCTCGGGAGGAGCTCCGGCGGCGTCTACGTTGAAGTGTGGGGCGTGGTTCGGAGTCCAGGTCGGGGTTCAGCCAGTCGGGTACATCCACGGGCTGAGAGTCCAGGAAGGAGAATAGGTCGGCCAGTTGTAGTGGGTGGCGGAGATTGAAGGTCCGGTTGTTCCGACGGACGTTGAGGCTGAAAGGGTAGCCCCAAGTGTACAGGGCCCCGGCCCTACGTATCACCGCGAGGAGAGGCTGGGAGGACCCTTCGCATATGGAGGGTGTGACGGGACAGGTCTGGCAGAACAGAGATATCTGCGCCGTCAAAGGGGGATGGGCCCTTCTGCCAGGCCTTGCGCATGATGGATTCCTTCTCCGCAAAGAAATGCACCCGGCATAGGACGTCTCTGGGCCGCATATCTCCGTCCGGTCTGGGGTTCCCCACGCGGTGCACGCGATCTATCTCCAATGGGGAACATGGGGCTTTGTCTAGAATCGAGTTGAGGATGGCGGTCACAGTGGGGTGAAGGCCGGACGAAGTCGTGGCCTCTGGCAGCCCCCGGAGCTTCATGTTGTTTCGCCGGGACCTGTTTTCGAGGTCATCTTGCATGAGCTGTAGTTCCGAGATTCCGATTCCAGGTGGTCAATCCGCCGGGCCAGAGTTGCCTGATCGCTGAACAAGGTGGTGACAGATGTTTACAGGTGAGAGACGGATTCGTGGATGCCGGCTATGTCCCTCTTCAGTGCATTCTCCATTTGTGAGACCATGGCGGCCATGTCCTGCCTCGTGGGGAGGGAGAGCAAGATGGCGGAGATCTCGCTAGTGGCTAGGGAAGGAGATTGCACCG